TGGTCATAGAGAATGAATTAACCATTACAAAACTGGAGTGTGAATCACAAGTAAATTTCCTACACAGGCATTCTAATAAGAATGGGCTGAGTAAATACAATTACCTATCTCAAACATGTAACCTCAAGGTTCAGTATTAATTTCTTGCAAAGCAGTCAGGACTCATTATGGTAATGATATATAGAATAGACTCAAAAGACCTTTTTACCCCAGCTTGGCTAATATTTAGGTTATGAGTATCTTCAATTATGTAAATATTATCCAGAATTCAGCTGTATCTCCATAGCAAAGTGTAATGGTGCTTTATATTCACAAAGTACATGAGTCATCAGTCTTCCTCATTCCTGTTAAATGGTGTTGAAAACTGGCCTGTGTTTTGAACTGTGTGGCCTATGTTTTGAAAGTTTGTACTGTGATCTGAAGCAGGGCTGACTGGAAGTAATTTGATGTGGGCTTTTCTTTTTTTTTTTTCTGGATAGGCAGTTGTCCCATGTCTTTGCGATTCCCTTGGTGGAGTATCTCAAACTGTGGTGTTCATGCTGTCTGCATGACGCTTTCTAGACGCTAGAAAGCGCTCTTCCCAACTTGCTGTGTGACTTTACAGTGTGAGTTGTCTAACCAGCTGACAGCCAGAGAAGTGATGCAGTCTGACATAACTAACTATACCTGTTACCTCTTTTCCTGGGCAGAGAATTACAGGGGTCTAGGACAATAATAAAAATCATTATATATTATAATACTTACATATAATTATGTTATATAAAGTATATGATAATAGTATTATACACCATATTCACCATCATCACTTTAACCAGTAGTTTCTCATTTCCCACTAATTTACTGTGTCCTTAAATTGATTTTTTTCAGTATCAGATATTTTAAGCTCTGTAAAGGGAATTTTTTTTTTTTTTTTTTTTGCGGTGCGCGAGCCTCTCACTGCTGCGGCCTCTCTCGTTGCGGAGCACAGGCTCCGGACGCGCAGACCCAGCGGCCACGGCTCACGGGCCCAGCCGCTCCGCGGCACGCGGGACCTTCCCGGACCGGGGCATGAACCTTTGTCCCCTGCATCAGCAGGCGGACTCTCAACCACTGCACCACCAGGGAAGCCCCCGGGGATTTTTTTTTTAATTTTTTTTTTTTTTTAATTTTTTGGCCATGCCAAGTGGCTTGCGGGATCTTAGTTTACCGACCGGGGGTTGAACTTGGACTCCCAGCAGTGGAAGCTTGGAGTCCTAACCACTGGACAGCCAGGGAATTCCCTCTATAACGAGAATTTTCAATTGCATACAAAAGTAGAGAAACTGTTCATTGCAGCACTATTAACAATAGCCAGGACATGGAAGCAACCTAAATGTCCATCGACAGAGGAATGGATAAAGAAGATGTGGTACATATATACTGTGTAATATTACTCAGCCATAAAAAAGAACGAAATAATGCCATTTGCAGCAACATGGATGGACCTAGAGATTGTCATACTGAGTGAAGTAAGTCAGAGAGAGACATATATGATATTGCTTATATGTGGAATCTACAAAAGGGTACAAATGAACTTCTGTACAAAACAGAAATAGAGACACAAATGCAGAAAACAAACATGGTTACCAGGGGGTAAAGTGGTGGGCGGGAGGGATAAATTGGGAAATTGGGAGTGGCATATACACACTACTATATATGAAATAGATAACTGGGCTTCCCTGGTGGCACAGTGGTTGAGAATCTGCCTGCCAATGCAGGGGACATGGGTTCAAGCCCTGGTCTGGGAAGATCCCACATGCCGTGGAGCAACTAGGCCCGTGAGCCACAACTACTGAGCCTGCGCGTCTGGAGCCTGTGCTCCGCAACAAGAGAGGCCGCAATAGTGAGAGACCTGTGCACCGTGATGAAGAGTGGCCCCCGCTTGCCACAACTAGAGAAAGCCCTCGCTCAGAAACGAAGACCCAGCACAGCCAAAAATAATAAATTAATTAAAAAACAACAACTAATAAGGACTTACTGTATAGCACAGGGAACTCTATTCAATATTCTGTAATGGCCTATATGGGAGAAAAATCTAAAAAAGTGGATATATCTGTAACTGATTCACTTTGCTGTACACCTGAAACTAACATAACATGGTAAACCAACTAGACTCCGATAAATATTTTTAAAAAAATAGAGGAACTATTACAACGAGCTCATGTGTGCCCATCACTCTGCTTCAACAATTTCCAACTCACGGTCAATCCTGTCTTATCTGTGTCCCCATTAACTTATCCCTCCGGTAATATTTGTGTGTGTGTGTGTGTTGTAAATATGAACTCATTAATTTTTTTATTGTGGAAATATATACATTACATAAAATTTACCATTTTACCATTTTTAAGTGTATGATTCAGTGGCATTAAGTACATTCACATTGTTGGGCAACTATCACCACTATCCATTTCCAGAACTTTCTCATCATCTCAAATAAGCTCTGTATCCACTAAACAATAACTCCTCATTCCCACCTGCCCCCCTGGTGGCCTCTACTTTCTGTCTCTACGAATTTGCTTATTCTAGGTACCTCATAGAAGTGGAATCATAACATATTTGTTCTTTTTATTTTTAATTTATGTATTTTTGGCTGTGTTACTTCTTTGTTGCTGCGCGTGGGCTTTCTCTAGTTGCAGCGAGCAGGGACTACTCACTGTGGTGGCTTCTTTTGTTGTGGAGCATAGGCTCTAGGCACGCGGGCTTCAGTAGTTGTTGCTCGCAGGCTCTAGAGCGCAGGGTTAGTAGTTGTGGCGCACGGGACTAGTTCCTCCGCGGCATGTGGGATCTTTCCAGACCAGGGCTCGAACCCATGTCCCCTGCATTGGCAGGCGGATTCTTAACCACTGCGCCACCAGGGAAGTCCCCATATTTGTTCTTTTGTGTCTGGTTTATTTCACTTTGCATAACGTTTTTAAGGTTCATCCATCTTGTTGCATGTATCAGTTTCATTCCTTTTTAAGGCGGAATGATATTCCATTGTATGCATGTACCATATTTCGCTTATCCATTCATCCGTCCATGGACATTTAGGTTGGTTCCACTTTTGGCTATTAATGCTGCTATGAACACTGCTATATAAATATCTAATTGCATCCTTGCTTTTACTTTTAATTCTTTTCGGTACATACATAGGAGTGGGATTTTCCTTTTTTCTTTTTTTCTCTTATGTGTGCTTTTCAAACAATCAGATTATTTACAGTACATATTAGTCATTCCCAGTCCAAGTTCTCGAAATCCTAGCCATGACTCAAGAGAGAACATCTAAAAACTACATATCTGGATTACATTATCCTAGCTTTCTGTAGAAAACAGGCTTAAGGAGCCTCCTGTCATTTTTGTCAACATGAGACATCCATCTGTAGACAATTTCTATACCTTTCATGAAACCAGCTACAAGCATCAACCAGCATTTATATAAGAATCCATGTCAATTCTTTTTCCTAAAAATGCCGAAAGAAAATCGTTTTAAAAAGCCAGGAAGAATTGGCTCCTCAGATGAACCTGTATGTTCCTTTGATCAATTAAGGCTATGCATCACAAGGGATTTTTTTCCTGGCCTTCTGGGAAACTCACAGATAAAATGTCACATTTGGAAAATTATCCCATTTCAAAAGGCCTGCTGCATCTATTTCTGCCTTCTGATTTACAACCTCACTTTAAAATGTTAAATTCTGTTCTTAAAAAGTGTCTGTAGCCACATCTGCTAATTGAGGTATACTGTAAGCAATCCAGGTACTGAACAATCACATAGTTTTGAATTCTCCAAAACGATCTAGAGCCAATATATATCTTAAAAATATATAAAAAACACAAAATCTCAGTTTTTCTTTGCAAAAGGAGAAAGAGACCTGGTTGAATTCAGGGCCAAGATATCCAGAGAGAGAGAGGAGGGGAAATGTGAAGAGTGGGAGAGTCACCTAGGGGAGGCTGGCAAGCTGTCTTCTGCAAGGTTGCACAGGGTAGCACTCATTTTACAAAGCCCCTTGGCCTTGAAGGCCCAGAAACCTGCTGTTAGTCAGCACAAGGAGATTGTCCATTTATCCGGGCCAATCTCATCTCAGGAAAGCTCCCAGAGTAATGTATGCAACCAGGATTCCAGTTAATTTAGAAGGAGAATTGAAACTGCCTTTGAAACTTATGTGCATATGACCTGCTTATTCATGTCCAAAGGTTTCTGGGTCATTGACCCATCCATCCTTTCCCATTCATTGCCAGGTCCCATTGCTCCTCCTTTGTGCCTCTGTTGTCAACGGTGAGTTTCTTTACCCTCAATTCTCATTTCCCAGAGCTGCTCATCCGAAACTCTATCACTTGAAGCCCACTTTAAATGCCTCCTACTCTTCAAACTTCCTTTGAGCCTTCAAATTCAAAATAACCTCGTACTCAGAACTGTAAGAGCACATTGTTCCTTTCATACTCCTTTTCACTTTATTTTTTAATTATAATTATTTGTGTACATGACAGGAAGCCCGAAGACCGTTTCTGTGGTTTATTTATGTTTGAAACACCAGTGACCAAAACGGGGGCCTGATACAGGTTACAGCTGTCAAATATTCGCTGCACCAGTGAAAGACTTGGTAGTCTTGGGCGGGTCTCAAGAGTTACAGCCTCCCCACCTGTCCTACAGGACGGCTCTTCTTTTCCTTTTACCGGACTGTAAATTCTCTTGAGGGTAAGTCTGAGTCAGCTTCGCTCTCCACTGTGTATCCAGGGCTGGCACAGGGTTCCGCATATAGCAGATGCTCAGTAAATGTTTCCTAAAAGAATGAATTAACAAGGGAATAAGTGATTGAACGAATGACTCGATGGACTCCCCATTTCTTCCACCTGTGCATCTGTCCGCAGGGAATTAATAAACCCGCGGGAGCCAGCCCAGATTCGCAGGACTCGCGGCGCTGGACCCGCGGCGCTGGACCAGCCTATGCGGCGGGGCGGGGCCTCCAGGGAGTCCCGCCCATGCGGAGGCGGAGAGTCTCGGGAGTCCCGCCCATGCGGAGGCGGGGCCTGCAGCGCGCGGGAAGCGGCGCGCGCGGCGGCGGGAGCTGGCGGCCGCGGGGACTGACCACGTCCCTATAGGTAAGGCTTCCCCGCGCTGGCTTCCGCGTCCCCGAGGTTTCCCGGCTGGACCTGGGGGGCGAGAGGCTCTCGCTGAGGGCCGGCCGCGAGGACCCGGGATAGCTCCTGAGAAGCGCGCGTCCGCGCGTCCGATCCCCGCCCCGGCCCCGAGCGGCCTCCTCCTAGGCAGGTCCGGTCCCGGCTTCCCGGGCCCAGCGGGAAGGGAGCTGCCTTCTCGTCTCCGGCCTCGGTCCGTTCCCCTGGCAGGCCCCTCCCCTGGGCGGCCTCCTCCCTCCAGAGAGCCCCCTCCCCCGCGGTCCCGGCCCCTTTCCCCGGGTAGCCCCCTCCCACGCGGCCCACTCCCCCAGGCGGCCCGCCCCCAGCTCTCCGGGCTCGCCCGGCAGCCTCCACTAAGCGGGCGCGGGCGCCCAGCCAGGCCCGGCCCGGTGCGTTGATTTCCTCTGCCCGGGTGTCCCATTTTGCTTTTCCGGAGGTAGCAGGAGAATAAACTGAACAGCCACGACTCAGCGAACCATTTTAGGTGAAACTTGCTAGGTGTTAACGTCAGACGTCAACAGTAACATCCTCTCCCAACGCAGCGTGCGTTTTTAACGGTTAGCAGAGTTCCTGGCTCCTACTAAGCGCTCAGTACATCGATCCTGCTATAATATTCACCTCATTACCGACGATTTTCAGCTTTCCTCTGTCTTTGGAGAAAGAACGGTCCCCGAGGAACGGTATTCTGTCCCTTGAAGACTCAGGAGGATGAAAGTCATCACTTGTGAGATCGCCTGGCATAACAAGGAGCCAGTGTACAGCCTGGACTTCCAGCACGGAGCCGCCGGGAGGATCCACAGGCTGGCCTCCGCGGGGGTGGACACCGCTGTCAGGGTAAATGGGGCCGAGGCAGAAAGGCCCAGGGAAGCACTATTGAAGCAGCATTCTCCACTCTTCTATTTATAATGAGTGTCAACAGGCACACACTACTTAGTTATGTAGCCCAGAGGGCTAAATTCTCAGGGCCTTGAGTCAACAACGAAAGCAAAGGAGAGCACCTTTCTTCCTGGGGTCCTGTTACCTAGAGCGATGTCACCGGATGCCCATTGCTGTAGAACCCTGAGCCAGTTTCCTCCTGGGAAACAGTTTGCACAAGAAAGAGGTGGGAGGCAATGGGACTGTAGGTTTATGTTTCAGATAGGAGTTCCTTCCTCTTACATTTCAAAAGAAAGACTAAATTTTCTTTCTGAAAATCAGCGTAGTGATGTTTTCGTCGGTACAGTATGGTGCGTGCTTGCTATACGTTTTCTCTGAATGAATGTGTTCGTATCAGCAGATCTGGAAGGTAGAAAAAGGACCAGATGGAAAGGCCATTGTTGAATTTTTGTCCAATCTTGTTCGCCATACCAAAGCTGTCAATGTCGTGCGTTTTTCTCCAAGTGGGGAAGTTTTAGCATCAGGAGGGGATGGTGAGTATTGTACTTCAAGATTCTTCAGAAACCAGATTCCCATGTAGTCTCATATTGAAGAGTGAGATTTGAGCTAGACATACTTTGTTATTTTAGAGGTCGCTTGACCCTCTCAATCTGTCATTTAGATAGTTTAGTAAAATAATGTTGTGGGGAGTGTGAAGGGGTGGAGGATGCAAAGCTTAAACTGAGAAGACCTGTTTGAAAACGGCCGCTTTCCCACTTGCTCCCACTGGGCTGATCGGAGACAAGTAGGTAGGTGCTTACCATTCTAAGTCCCAAGGCAACTGGCCTGGCCTTGTTTGGCTGTCAGTTTAGCATCTGTAAGTGATCACAGTCAGTTCCATGTCTCTGTGTAATTAACGAATTAATTGGCTTAGGGAGTATAGTCTAAACAGCCCTCTAAATTATGTTTCTTTGGTGGGAGTAGACTGATTCATATTTTCTGCCTGCGCCACGCGTCATGCAGGATCTTAGTCCCCCGACCGGGGATTGAACCCGTGCTCCCTGCAGTGGAAGCGCGGAGTCCTAATCACTGGACCGCCAGGAAATTCCCTTTCTGCTTGTGCTTAAATGGCATCAAATGATACAGAAGAAGTAAATCTTTTTATCATGCTCTAAAACTAAGATAGTCTAGAAGTCAGAATAAAAAGAAAGAAGAAATCTCAGATGTTGTTTGAAGAAGGAGGGAAAGAAGCCTTGTTGAATTCAGTGCCCTGCTGTCCAGTGTTTCCGTCGAGGGAGGGGGTGGGGAGTGGCAGCAGCACAGGGGGCAGTGGGGAGGCTGGCGGGCCGTCCTCTGTGAGGCTGCACAGGGCAGCCCAGGTCCTTTGGCCTCGAGGGCCCGGAAACCTGTCATCAGTCAGTCAGCACATGGAGAGTGCCGGTCCGTCAGGGCCAGTCTCATCTCAGCCAAGCTCCCCGGATTCCAGTTAATTTAGAGAGAGAACGTGTGTGTCCACACCACCGGCTCCTTCGCTCTCCTCCTTCGGGCATTCCTCGAAGGGAAGCCACGTCTTGGTCAGAAGGTTATGTGGTGAGCGTGGCGTCAGAACGTGGGGAGCTAGAGGACTCAGACAATTGGTGACATCACGCTAAGGTATCTGACACGTCCATGGTGTTAACAGCTGACACATGCATGGGCTTACCATGTGCCGGGCATCGTGGGGTAAGTGCTTTATGCATTTGCCTCATTTGATGCTCACGGTAGCTGATGAGCTAGGCACTGTTATCCTTCTCATTTTATGGGTGAGGAGACCGAGGCATCAAGATGGGAAGTGACTGGCCGTAGGTTACACAGCTAGGAATGATTTGCCACCCCTTGCGTTGGTGCCTCTGTTGTTTCCTTATTCGGCCACTTACAGGTTATGCCTGTGGATTTGTTAATGTAGTCAGTTGCTTTGCAGTAGTGTTTTGCTGGCCTGGGGGCACTTCTGTTTAAGGAGACCTTGTATAGCTCTGATCTGGTATGAGTTTGATTTTGGAGTTTTTGTTCGGAAGGCAAATTTGCTTTTCCTGCCCCAATTCTTAGAAGTAAATCCTTGTGGCCATAGTGTCTATTGAACAACATAGATATTATTTAATACCCTAAAAATCCAGAAGTGAAGGAGCCATGCTTTGTAAAGCGTGGCTTATCTTTAACTGACTCGCTCCACAGATGCTGTCATTCTTCTGTGGAAGGTTAATGATAACAAGGAACCAGAACAGATCGCTTTTCAGGACGAGGATGAGGCTCAGCTGAACAAGGAGAACTGGACTGTCGTAAAAACCCTGAGGTAACCTCGGGAGGGGCCTGGGAGGGATTTATCCTTACGACCTGGATGCATTAAGCTGATGCGCATTTTGACTTTTTTTTTTTTTTTGTGGTATGTGGGCCTCTCACTGTTGCCTCCCCCATTGCGGAGCACAGGCTCCGGACGCGCAGGCTCAGCGGCCATGGCTCATGGGCCCAGCCGCTCCGCGGCATGTGGGATCTTCCCGGACCGGGGCACGAACCCGCGTCCCCTGCATCGGCAGGCGGACTCCCAACCACTGCGCCACCAGGGAAGCCCGCATTTTGACTTTTATGTCTCACTTAAAACTTTTACTTATGCAAGACAGTGATACGGGCATAGTTTAAAAGATAAAAATATGATTAAAATGGATTTTCTTAGTTTGTCTTATAAAATCTTCCTTAGTAAACTTGAATCAATTTTAAAGATACAAATATCCTTGAAGGTATTAGTTTATAGCTATAGCTAATATAGCTCTAGTGGAAATTCCTAAAGTCCCACTGTAATGTATGGTCCCTGAGTTTGCTTTTAAATTTTTGACAATTTTTTCTCTCCTTGAGACAAGAATTGCTTTTTCTCCTCTTTGGATTCTAGGGGCCACTTAGAAGATGTGTATGATATTTGCTGGGCAACCGATGGGAATTTAATGGCTTCTGCCTCTGTGGATAACACGGCCATCATATGGGATGTCAGTAAAGGTAGCTGATATGTTTTTGTTATTATCGGGGGAAGGACTATTCTAAGTGTCTAAAAAGCCGAACCTTTAAAGGCTTCAGAGGAGTTTTTTTAGTGAACTGGAATAGGTGTTTGGCAGGACAGGTTAGGGATTAGCCCCATATGCCATGGATCCACTGCATTTTTAAGGGCCCAGTCAGAATGTATGAGGCTTAGCAGTGGTGTCATGAGTTGCTGGTGCCAAAGCAAGGTAGATCGCACACGCCTGGGGGTGCAGACATGACGGGGCCGGCGGGGCGGCACACGGCTGATCCCTGCCATCCTGGAACTTAGGATCTCAGGAAGTTAGCAAGTCATAATCAGTGAGGCATTGCATGCTCAGTGTTGGGGTCGGTGGGATCAGGTTTCCATTTCGGGACATCAAGGCAAGCCAAGGACACCTCACTGCTTTGAAATAACCTGTTCACTGGTTGAGGGGACAATAAACATGTGAGAAGTTACCGTAGGATGAAAATAGCAGTGAAATGCCAAAAGCCAGTGGTGGCTGACGCCTGACCACTTTTGCCCCCTGCAGTCCTGTACTCAAGCTTGATGTCTTCTCCCAAACCTCTTTTCTTCTTTATCTGCTGATTCTCCTGCAACCCAAGTGCCCAGGTCGGGAGTCAGGCAGCGGCATTGGCATCCCCTGTGTTGTCAGCGCTGCATCAGCCCAGTTTTCATCCACGCTGTGGAGGCCTCTGTTCTTCGTTCTGTGCGGTGCAGCTGAAGCGTCCTCTCTCTTGCCTCATTTCCGTCATGCTCTTTCTCATCAATCCCAGACACTCGGCAATGGGGAGGACCAGTGTCACTGTCTTCTTTTTCCCAAATCTGGCCATGTGTTGGATAATTTCAGTGTCCGTTGACACTCCATCAGCACCCCCTGAAGCCAGTTGTACCGATCTTGAACACTGCCAGCAGGCTGGGCACTCTTGCAGGTGCTGGAGGATGCGTGAATACAATGGCTACGTCCTAGTAGGGTGTCAGACGAATACACAAACGTATGATGCCAGGAAGTGATAGCACTCTGAAGGGGTCCGGGAGTGATAGGGTGATCTGGGAAGGCTTCTCTGAGCTTGTGGAGTTTGAACAGAGACTGGAATGAAGCCGGGGAGCAAGCCGTGTGCATTATTTCATGGGAACGGCAGGTGCAGAGGCCCGGCGGCCGGAGCTGCTGCTTGTGTCCCAGGAGCAGGAAATCGCCGGACGGCTGGAGCAGGAGGGAGGGGGGACCTGAGGCTGGAGGGTGGTGGGTCCAGGCCACAGGGTCGGGTCTCAGATTGCAACCAAGGTGTGACCACGTGCTGCTGATGGGTTTTAAGCAGTAGACTAATGTGATTTCGCTTATTTTTTAAAAAATATTTATTTATTTATTTACGTATTTATTTTGGCTGCGCCGGGTCTTAGTTGCGGCACACATGCGGGATCTAGTTCCCCGACCAGGGATCGAACCCGGGCCCCCTGCCTTGGGAGTGCGGAGTCTTACCCACTGGGCCACCAGGGAAGTCCCCTACTTATGTTTTAAAAAGATGTCATTGGCTGGCATGTGGCAAACTCTCCCAGGACAGCACAGCAGGTAGCAGGGGGTGTGGGGGGGAGGAGCGGTTTTGAGGAGCGTGGAAATCAAGACCACGTCCTAGGCCTCCATCGTTTTTTTTTTTTCTTAACGTGTAACATGGGCAAAATTGTTTAAAGTCAATACGTTTTTATTTATGGAAGTTCACATGCTGTGATTCCTTCTGCCCATCACCTTAGTTCCTCCAAAGTCTGTGTCGTAATCTTCAAGGTGGCCCTTTAGAAAGAAGGCCTGCTTGATCCACGCTTGTCCTGTCGGCCAGTCCACTGTTCTGCAGCTGGGCTTCTCTGAAGGCCTGTCACTTAAGTGCTCTGACAGTGACGTCATAGCCAGGCGTCCTGCTCTCCTGCCAAGCCGCCTCCTTCAGGCCCCTCAGCACCCCTGCTTCCTGCTAGAGCCCTCAGGTCCCCCGAGCCCTCTCGATTCCTGCTCTGCCAGCCCGTCTGACCTCTTATTTTCTCTCTCCACTTTGCTCCCCAAGGGGATCATTTATGTACATAGACCCTTTTCTTTCACCCGACGGTACCAAGAAAACCCCAGCCCAGGACTGGTGCTACAATACTGACAGTCTCCTGGTCCCGGGCTGAGCACAGCTGGTCACAAACCGGCCACCCTGCATATTGGCCCGCTATAAATTCGTCCTCACCAGCCTCCGATGGGGTCCTGGGGTCCCAACCCCTTTTGCTTGTGAGGTTCGATCCCACTCCTGTTCTCCCCGGCAGCTCCCCCAAACCTCCGTAGGTCTCCTTAGTCTTCTTCTTCACCCCTGGACACCTTCATCTCAGCAGACTCCCCTAAAGGCCTTCAAGAAGGGGAGGGGGAAGGAAAGTTAGCCTGACATTTGTGCAGTGTGTAAAGTCACCGGCAGGTCACTGGCGACTTCAGGGCCAGGGTGGGGCAGGCAAGGAGCGGGAGGGAGCCCACGGCAGAGGGTTGAGTGAGTGGTCGGGAGAGCGAGTGACGGGGTGTAGACCGCTCCCCACAGAAGAAGGTTTTGGCTTTTGTTTTTTTGTTTTTTTTGGCCTCATCATGCGGCATGTAGGATTTTAGTTCCCCAACCAGGGATTGAACCCGCCCCTTGCAGTGGAAGTGCGGAGTCTTAACCACTGGACCGCCAGGGAATTCCCTGGGTTTTGTTTTTTTAAGACTGGCCAAGGCTTCCTAACTCCCTCCTCTTTTTATCCGGGTAATCTCTGTGTGCTACTGGTTTTATCTTCTAAATGTTTCCCCCAAAGCCCTTTTCCCATCCCTAGTCACAATGCTCTGGTTCAGGCCCTCATCTCTCACCTCATCTGCTGTCACCTCCTAACTAGTGACACTTTTCTGTGCTCTCTTCGACCCTCAGTTTCATCTTTATAATGCAGGTCACTTCCTAGCTCAGCGTTGCTCTGAGCCACACCATGAACCCCCAGAACCGTTTCCTTGCACACGAGGGTCTTGCACACACCAGCAGTCTCGGCTACTTGTCACTGCTCCAGTGGCCTAAACTGACTTTCACCCCGTGGATTTGCTCAGAATACCTTCTTCTCTCCTCATCGGCCCCATGTATCCTGCCTGACCTGGAGAACCAAACTCTGAGCTCACTCCTTCTCGACCTCACCCCGGCTTTGTTAGCTGCCCTCTTCTCTGCGTCGTGTCACAGTGCGCCTGCTGGTGGTGGGTCTGTCCCCACCATGAGCTGTGAGCTCCCTGGGAGGAGGGGCCACGTGAAGTCATCTTTGGTCCCCAGAGCCTGACGTGGAGTTTGGTAGAGTCTAAGTTACCAACTGCTGAATTATGGAACGGCCTAAAGGAACAATACTTAAATTGTAGTTTATGCCATTTGTGCATTAGTGGGTTTTGGTAATGTGTGTGTTGTGTGCTTTATTCGTAGGACAAAAGATCTCAATTTTTAATGAACATAAAAGTTATGTACAAGGAGTAACCTGGGATCCTTTGGGTCAATATGTTGCTACCCTGAGCTGTGACAGGTAAGTTAGTATTTGGCAAGTTGTTTTCATCTCTGTTTGCTTGAAATTTTCTTCAGAGGTATTTTTGTTACAGCTTAACCAATGTAAGCCACAGTCTGGCTTTGATTCTTTCATTCTTGGTTTCATATAAAGCATTTTGTTTTACTGCTATTCTTACAGCATAATAAGAAGTTGGCAACTAATTAGGACAAGAGCCTTACACGAAGTTAGTACTTAATAAATCTTTATTGAGTGGGTGAGTGAATGCAGAAATAGCTTTGAATTAAATTTAAACTTCTTGGGCAACTTTTAAAGAAAAAGTCTTTTATAAATATGACTTAAGCAAGAAGAGATAACTAGTGGTAGGGTTGGATAGTTATTTCATTTTTTTGATTAGAGTTTACTGCTATAGTGATTTTAACAACTCCATTTAAATTAATATGAAAATAAGATACTTTGTCTTCTCTGAAAGGAGGTCTTGTTGCTGTGTTTACTGGTACATTTAAACACAATATATATATTTTTAATTATTTTATCTTTGGCTGCGTTGGGTCTCCGTTATTGCACTTGGGCTTTCTCTAGCTGCGGCTAGCAGGGGCTACTCTTCGTTGCGGTGCACGGGCTTCTCATTGCGGTGACTTCTCATGTCGCGGAGCACGGGCTCTGGGCACGCGGGCTTCAGTAGTTGTGGCACGTGGGCTCAGTAGTTGTGGTTCACGGGCTCTAGAGCGCGGGCTCAGTAGTTGTGGCACATGGGCTTAGTTGCTCCGCGGCATGTGGGATCTTCCCGGACCAGGGCTCGAACCCGTGTCCTCTGCATTGGCAGGCGGATTCTTAATCATTGCACCACCAGGGAAGCCCTAAACACAATAATTTAATTGTGTTCCTGGAACAAAAAATTAAAAAAAAAAAAACCAGGGATGCCAAGCATATCACTCACCAGTCATAATAGTCCTTTATAATATTTATCCAACTACTTTTAACTATAACAAACTGAATTTCAAATGGCGCTGGAATGAAAGCACTAAGGAAGTGTTTATTTTTCATAGAATCTCCTGTAACATTCCAAATGTCATTTATTTTCTGGTATACGTGGGTTTTTTTGTTCTTTTTTTGTGTGGCCATGCCGAGTGGCTTGTGGGATCTTAGTTCCCTGACCAGGGATCGCACCTGTGCCCCCTGCAGTGGTAAGCACAGAGTCCTAACCACTGGACCGCCAGGGAAGTCCCCTGGTACATGTGTTTTATTCAGGCAGTCAGGAGTGAAACAATTTGATTAGCTCAGGGAATAATATGAACTACCAACAACCAATTTACTGGCTGCTGCTTCCCTTACTCCTGCAAATCCCTGAGGGCGAGACCGTTCCACACAAAATAAACTTCACTGCAGTCATACAGATGGCCACTGAGCCAGATGCCCAAGACCTGAAAAATAAGGCCAGGCTTACAAGTTTATGTCCATTGACAAGTTGAAACATTCAATGGAGAATGAAATTATGACGTATTTCCCCACTTAGTTAGTGATATCCTTCTGGTTGTTAATATTTGCCTCTGTCATTCAGTTAAGTGTGAAAGTCATTGGTCAGTGGTTTTGCAGGCCAAAAGTTGTTGAAGCAATCTTCAGTTCTGGTAATAGATTGTTTCTCTGTGAAACATAATTCGTTTACTAGAAGAGATAAATCAGACTTTTCTTCTTTATTTAGGATCCTGAGGGTGTACAGCACACTGAAGAAACGTGTGGCTTTTAATGTCTCAAAGATGCTGTCTGGAGTAGGGGCTGAAGGAGAGGTACAAAATGTTTTGACATTCCATCTTAGCCGTACTGTAGTTGGGACTTAGGAAGTTGTGAGCTCCTCCATCGCTCGTAGCTAAACCCCTGGTTTCCAGGACCCGACACCTGAACTGCAATATGACTTCCTCTTAGACCACCAAGTCTCAGTGTGGCGGTCTGGGCTGGCCTGTACGGAGGTGGGGACGTCTGGGGGCCAGGGGAGAGGTGATGGTGGAGGACAGTGTTTCCAACCCTGGCTGAACTATGGAGTCACCTGGGAAGCATGTAAAGATATGGGTGCCTGGGCCCGACCCCAAGAGCTGTGATTCACTTGGCTTGAAGCAGACAGGGCCCCCACGGTCTGAGGTGCAGTGAGGTTCAGGAACCACTGACTAGGAAGACCACAGCACTAGGCAATAGGAAGGCAGGTGGATCCAGCAGCGGCGATACACCTTCTTGGCAGGTGGAGGGGGACTCTCTGGCCATCGGGCTGGTACTCAGGAATGGAAAGGATTTTGATTTTTGAAAGAACTGGTAAATGAAGATAGCACTCTAATCCTAGTAGGTGAAAGGGAGCAAGTTGGTTACTATAACAAAGCAGATAAACAACAAGGTCCTACTGTGTAGCACAGGGAACTGTATTCAATGTCTTGTGATAAGCCAGACGGGAAAAGAACATGGAGAAGAATATACACATGTATAACTGAGTCACTTTGCCGTACAGCAGGAGTTAGCACAGCATTGTAAATCAACTCTACTTCAGTAAAGTTAAAAACAGACAAACAGCAACAACCAAAGCAGAGATGAGGTGCAAATCCAGTCCTGGGAAAGCACGTAAGGCAGAGTGGGCTGTGTGCGCTGGCCGGCGCTGAGAGGTCGGCTGGGTAGTTAGGAGAGTCATGCTTGGTTGAGGATTAAACGCTTACTGTTCATGAAGTGTCAGTGCATGGTAGCAAGAACTGTTCCACACAGGTGTTCAAGAAATGTTGTCTGAAAAGATGATAGGATTACTATTTTCTTTTTAAAAAGGGTTCATTCGGTTGGAGATTCTAAATATAAACACACAGATAACAAGCAAAGGGCTCCTAGTCACCTTCCTGCCATTTCCCGGTCTCATTCCCCAGACAGACCACTGTTGACAGTGTGGTGTGTGCTCTTACAGATGGTTATTTGTATAATAAGTATAGAACCACACAAACACGTAGACAGACAGACACACACACACACACACACACACACACACACACACACACACACAGCTTTCCTTAACAAAAATGGGAGATCAGTTCAAGAGTGATTGCCCTTGCAGACTTGCGTGATTATTTGATATGTAATTTATTTCAGTTTCATTTATTATTATGTCAGTAAGAAATGACAACGTATAGAGAAAGAAATAGAAATTGGTAAGCCTTTATTGTGAATGCGAAGGTCTGGAATAACGTTTAGACTCTGTGTGCCGCAGGCGAGAAGTTACCGGATGTTCCATGATGACAGCATGAAATCATTCTTTCGTAGACTTAGTTTCACTCCTGATGGATCTTTGCTCCTCACACCAGGTGTGTTTAACAAAGCTTTTGATTTAAGGGCATGAGAGCAGCGGTGGTGGTGTCTGTGCTCCTGATTTTGTGATGCTCTTTGCAGCTCAGGGAATTCTGATGAAAGCAGTGGTCCCCAACTTGTCCGCACATTGAAACCTCCAGGGAGCTTCAAAAAGTGCTGGTACCTGGGTCCCACTCCCAGAGATTGTGTTTTAATTGGTTTGGAGTGTGTGGTCTGGGTTTTGGAATTTTAAAAAGATTTCTAGTGATTTTAATGTACAGACAAGTTTGGGAGCCACTAGACTAGAGTGATAAACATACTCCCTTAGGCAAATTCAACTTAAAAAAAATTTTAATGAGTGCCTTTTCCCTAGACATGTATATGGAGGTCATCGTTCTAAAACTAATGATAAAGTGCCTTTATCATTTTTATTCTTAATAATGAAGCAGCCTGTTGTGACAGGGTCTAGGCACAGACAAGTCTGGTTGGAATAACTTGTGGGAGTGTAGTGGTCAAGTCTGACAGGTCAGCAGAATCAGCAAAGACACGTCAGGGTCATTTTCAGCAGGAGGGTGAGAGGTTGAGTCCAGCAGGATTATCCAGGGCAGTGCTGTTGCCAACATGGTCTCAGAGGAGACCGTCCCCTGCTCTCCATGGCGCAGATACCATCCTGTGTATGATACGATGACATGACCCGGGGCTGGGCCAAATGGGAGGGCACAGGTCAGGTTTGCCACTAAGTGTCCCAGCCAGGCTGGGCAGAGGAGACCCCAAGAGTGTGTGAATCATACACACATGTGTGGGTTAGGCTGTAAAAGGACATTGGGGAACACGTGGGAATGACATTGGCCTAGGGGGGGTCCCAGGACCAAGAATAAGTAGTTGCATAAGTCTATTGAAAGTTGTTTACTAAACTCAGTAGCAGGTCCTTTCCTAAATGGCAGCTCCAAAAATACTTTCATTTAAAATCGGGTACCAGATGGGTTATCTGCTGCCACCATTATTATTCTTGGTGGTGTTAATAAATGCAGGAAATGAAATTACAGAGATTGGAAGAAATAAAACTTTGTGATAGGTTTGTGTTTCTAGAAAATCCAAGAGATTTAAAAAATACTCTCAGAATAAAAAAAAGAATTTGATAAGGTGGCTAGATATTATAAAATACATAAAATCTGTATCTGCTACAGTAGAATAAGTACTTAGAAATGTGAAAAGGATAATTGTTCCATTCGTAACAGTGCAAAACGCAGAAGACATGGAAATGCATAGGAAAAAATTTAATAAGGCATAGAGCCTTTATGAAGAAGACTAGAAGGTCTTATTGATGGTTATAAAACAAGTTCTGAACGAATAGAGAGATTTCGTGTTCTAAAAATTCACATGATAATTGATTTCCAATTAGGATCCCATTTAAGGTTTTTTTTGTTGTTGGTTTGTTTCGGTTTTTTGGTTTTTTAATTGGATGACATCTCGGATTTGTTTAGGAGAGTAAATGCAAGGAATAGTAAAAAAGTATGAAAGATAAGAATAATACTTGAGCAGGCATTTTCCTGTCTAAATGTCAGAGATTCTGTAGTGCTATTGTTATCAAATCAGTATGGTATTGGTACAGGAATAAACATATAGCTTAGTGGATCAGAACAGAGAATCCAGAAATAGATTCTGGGATAAAAGGGAATTTAATAGGTGACCTGAGTGGTATTTCAGTGGGAAGAATGGATTATTGAGTGAATAGTTCTGGAGTGTCCAGCTGTCTGGAAAAAAATTAAATTGGACTCTTAGCTTATCAGATAGATAAGGTGGGCTTCCTTGGTGGCGCAGTGGTTAAGAATCCGCCTGCCAGTGCAGGGGACACGGGTTTGAGCCCTGGTCCGGGAAGATCCCACATGCCGTGGACCAACTAAGCCTGTGCACCACAACTACTGAGCCTACACTCTAGAGCCTGCGAGCCACAACTACTGAGCCCGCGTGCCACAACTACTGAAGCCCACACACCTAGAGCCCGTGCTCCACAACAAGAGAAGCCACTGCAATAAGAAGCCCGTGCACCACAGTGAAGAGTAGCTCCCGCTCACCACAACTAGAGAAAGCCCACGTGCAGGAACAAAGACCCAGTGCAGCCAAAAATAAATAAATAAAATAAATATATTTTAAAAATAAATAAATAAAATAAACTGCAGGTTAATTTAATACTTAAAAATGGTAAAAATGTAAAACTCTTGCAAGAAAATCTAGGAGGACATTCTAGGACTGGGGAAGACCAAACTAAGACTGGAAACCCAGCAGCTCTTAAATGATAGATACTTTGCTGTATTTGAATGTAGAGCTTTTGTATGGCAAAAGACGCAGTAAGCAAAATCAGTAGTCGTACGACGGGACTGGAAAATAATGGTTATGGTACAGAAAAGAGAGCACTGACAAATATCATATACAATGGCTCTTCCAAATTGGCAAGAAGAACAAAAAGACAAAAGGAGAAAAACCCAAAAGAGAAAAACGAGAGAAAGGTACAACAAGGCGGCTCATAGAAGAGCAAATCTGGTGCAAAACTGGCACACACGGGGAGGCGTTCGGAAACCCGACAGTCAAGGCAACGCAAGTTAACGTGACATCAGTAGGTATCCCTTTATTCATTACAGGCTGGAAAAAAGTGAAAATATCTGTCGCTGATGGGCATGTGTATGGCTGTTGCTGGAGAGAGTGTGGATTGTTAGAGCCTTTTGGGAAGGCAGCCTGGTAACCGTTTAATGCATGTACTCTTCAGCCAATCCGCCCCTTGTCTGACATTCACTTCCTTAAGAAATGAAAACAGTACATAAGAGTGTATGTCCAAGGATGTTTATTGCAAGCGTAGCTTTTTTTTTTTTAAGGACACTTTCTCTTTTTAAAAATTAATTAATTTATTTATTTTTGGCTGTGTTTGGTCTTCGTTGCTGCACACAGGCTTTCTGTAGCTGTGGCGAGCAGGGGCTACTCTTCGCTGTGGTGCGCGGGCCTCTCATTGCAGTGGCCTCTCCTGTTGTGGAGCACAGGCTCTAGGTGCGCAGGCTTCAGTAGTTGTGGCGCGTGGGCTCAGCAGCTGTGGCTCGCGGGCTCTAGAGTGCAGGCTAAGTAGTTGTGGCACACGGGCTTAGTTGCTCCGCAGCATGTGGGATCTTCCTGGACCAGGGCTCAAACCCGTGTCCACTGCATTGGCAGGCAGATTCCTAACCACTGTGCCACCAGGGAAGTCCAAGCATGGCTCTTAGTTGTAAAAAAACAAAAACAAAACAATACTCGTTAACAGAGAATGGGTGAATAAATTACGGTATTTTCAGACCAGTGCATAGTAGGTAGCTACTGAAGAGAGGATGCTTTAGTGTCACGCAGGTTAACTGTCATGAGTAATTGACTGAGAAAAGCAAAATGAGCAAAAGTATAAATAATACCCCATTTTGTAAAATAGATTTTAAAAACCCACCATATGAATATACAAGCGATTGAGTTGTAACTGGTTGGAACAGTTACGTGAGCATGGGGGAAATATAGAATGACCTGATGGTTTGTTAAAATGGATTACTTGGGGATGGAAGGATGGGGTGAGATGGGAAGAGAGTAGAAAGACTACTGGCTGTGTCTGCTGCCCCCCACCCAGCGGGTATGAAATGGTCACGTGGAAGATTACATATGTGTGTGTGTGTGTGTGTGTGTGTGTGTGTGTGTGTCAGGAAATGTTAACGTAAAACAGGGAGATGTTCCCAAGAGCAACTGTGTGTGACGGTCATTCTCCAACAGGATCTGACCTGGTTTTGAGTACAGCCTGAAGGTGAGTGTAGAAGGGCTCTCAGATGTGGGCTGCTCCCCAGGGCAAAGGCAGCTTCTGCAGGGGCTGGAGATGTCAGCAGAGGGCTGGTCTCCTGGCAGCCTTTGGGCTCCATCAGGCTGATGGGAAAAGGCCTGAGTCTCAGGTTTTGGGTGGCAGCTGAGGTCAATCCAGGGGACAGAGAGCCGGGGGTCTGATCATAGCACTTCACTAGCAGGAATTGGCTGGATTCGCAGGCAAAGGCCTGCTGTGGTCAGGGCTCCCTGCTTTATGTTCTTCCCACCCAGGCCTGGAAGGGGCTCTGGGGCAGCTGAGCCCCTTGGGGAGGTGACAGGTGGGTAGAACTGGAGTAAAGGGCTGAGCCCAGGCGGGGACAGGGTGTTGGCATCTGTCCTCAGTCACAGAAACATTGTGCAGGTAGTAATGTTCCGGGAGAATCTTTCACAAACCGGACCTGATGCTCATGCGCCTTTGCTGATGAACAGTTTAATAACACACGGCCTTGCCTTCCTCTGCTGCTTCCCCAGCCGGATGTGTGGAATCGGGTGAAAACGTAACAAATACAACTTATGTTTTCTCCAGGAAAAATCTTAAAAGGTATGCAATTGAAGAAATATTTGAAATGTTTACCCTTTCTTTTTGCTTTTGTTGAGTGACGGTGCTTTTTTGCAAAACCGCGATTCATCTTGCAGGCCTATCGCCCATCTTCCGTGTCCTGGGAAGGCGACGCTCGCTGTCCGCTGCTGCCCCGTCTACTTTGAGCTGAGGCCAGTGGTGGAAGCAGGTACCTTAGAGCCACAGGGGTGTGTCACGTTCTCTGAGGCAGGTCACCAGGGTGGGTGGGGAGAGGTGAGTATGTGGGTTGGTTCAGTTTGGTCAGCCTTGAGAGCAAAGACTGATGTTATCAAAATACGTGTCAGATTTTGCGTTGTCTAGAATACATTTTCTTTGCTGCAAGCAACTTTAAAGGGCTAAAAATACTAGCTTTGTTTCTCTACTGAAGCAGGTTGAATGTCATTTATTATTGATTTCCTATGCAGTGAAAATTATGGAAAAATTATATGAATTGGATTTTTGTTTCACTGTTTTTTCACCTCCGGCTGCTTTTAAGATTTTTCTCTTTATCAGTTGGCTTTCAGCAATCTGATTACGGTGTACCTGCTGCCGTTTTCTTAATGTTTCTTGTGCTTGGGGTTCATTGAACTTCTTAGATTTACGAGTTTATAGTTTTCATCAAATTTGGAGAACTTCGCCAGTTATTTCTTTAGATACTTTTTCTGTCATCCCCCCTCTCTCTCCTCTTCTTCAGGGGCTCCAGCTACACACGTATTAGAAGTTACCCATGGCTTACTGATGCTCTGTTACTTGTTTCTTTCCTCTCTGTGGATAGTTTCTACAGCTTGTTTTGAGTTCACTGCTCTTCCGTGTCACCTGCCCTTGGTGCCATCCAGTGTATTTTCTATCTGTGACGGTGTAGTCTAGAACTTCTAGAGTTCAGCTTGGGTCTTCCTCACGTACCTCTGCTTTACACCTTCCCTCTTGCATCTTGAACACGTGGAATACACTTGTTATAATAACTCTTTTAATGGCTTTGTGTACAAAGGATTGGTTTTGATTGATTTTTTCTTCCTCATTATGGATCATATTTTTCTGCTTCTTGGAATGCCTGATAATTTTTTTTTAATTAATTAATTTATTTATTTTTGGCTGCATTGGGTCTTTGTTGCTGCACGCGGGCTTTCTCTAGTTGCATCGAGTGGGGGCTACTCTTCGTTGCTGTTCGCGGGCTTCTCATTACGGTGGCTTCTCTTTTTGCGGGGCACGGGGTCTAGGCGCGTGGGCGTCAGTAGTTGTGGCTCGTGGGCTCTAGAGCGCAGGCTCAGTAGCTGTGGCGCACGGGCTTAGTTGCTCCACGGCATGTGGAATCTTCCCGGAACGGGGATCGAACCCGTGTCCCCTGCATTGGCAGGCGGATTCCTAAGCACTGCGCCACCAGGGAAGTCCATCTGATAATTTTTTATTGGACATTGTGGATTTTACCTTAGTGGATGCCGGATATATTTTCATCCTTATAAATATCCTTGAGCTTTATTCTGGGATGCAGTGAGGTTGCTTGGAAACACTTTGCGTCTTAGGGGTCTTGCTGTTAGGCTTTGTCAGGTGGGATCACAGGGGCATTTAGTCTAGGGCTAATCTCTTCACTACGGAGGCAGAGCCGCCTGGATGCTCTAATTGATGCCCATGAAGTGGGCGGTTTTCCACTCTGGCTGGTGGGAACATGTGCTGTTTCTAGCCTTGTGTGAGCTTCAGGGGTGGCTCTTTTATTAAAAAAAATTAATTAATTTTATTGAAGTATAGTTGATTTACAGTGTCATGTTAATTACTGCTGTACAGCAAAGTGATTCAGTTATACATATATACATTCTTTTTTAATATTCTTTTCTGTTATGGTTTATCATAGGATATTGAACATAGTTCTCTGTGCTATACGTAGGACCTTGTTGTTTATCCATTCTATATAAAAAAGCTTACATCTGCTAACTCCAGTCTCCCACTCCATCCCTCCCCGACCCCCTCCCCCTTGGGAACCACCAGTCTGTTCTCTGTGTCCGTGATTCTGTATCTGTTTCACTGATAGGTTCATTTGTGTCATATTTTAGACTCCACATATAAGTGATATCATATGCTATTTGTCTTTCTCTTTCTGACTTCACTTAGTGTGATAATCTCTAGTTGCATCCATGTTGCTGCAAATGGCATTATTTTGTTCTTTTTTATGGTTGAGTAGTATTCCATTTGTGTGGGGGGGGGGGGGCACATCTTCTTTATCCATTCATCTGTCCGTGGACATGTAGATTGTTTCCATGTCTTGGCTATTGTGAATAGTGCTGCTATGAACATAGGGGTGCATACATCTTTTTGAATTATAGTTTTGTCCAGATATATGCCCAGGAGTGGGATTGCTGGATCATATGGTAGTTCTATTTTTAGTTTTTTGAGGAACCTCCATACTGTTTTCCGTAGTGGCTGTACCAACTTACATTCCCACCAACAGTGTAGGAGGGTTCTCTTTTCTCCACACCCTCTCCAGCATTTATTGTTTGTAGATTTTTTGATGATGACCATTCTGACTGGTGTGAGGTGGTACCTCATTGTAGTGTTGATTTGCATTTCTCTGATAATTAGCGATGTTGAGCATCTTTTCATGTGCCTGTTGGCCATTTGTATGTCTTCTCTGGAGAAATGTCTGTTAGGTCTTCTGCCCATTTTTGGATAGGGTTGGTTGGTTTTTTTTGTTGTTGAGTTGTTATGAGCTGTTTATATATTTTGGAAATTAAGCCCTTGTTGGTCACATCATTTACAAATATTTTCTCCCATGTAGATAGTCTTTTCATTTTGCTTACGGTTTCCTTAGGGACAGCTCTCTCTTTCCCGTGGCCCTCGCTCCAGCCCTGGCTAGTTTTCCCGCGTGCGGCACTGGTCAGCACTCAGCTGAAGGCTCGAGGCCCTTGGGGCTCTGGCTCCGCCCCTCCACCCACGCGCTCCAGTCGCCTGGGCCTCCTGGCCTCCCAGCTCAGGACGTCTGCCAGGCGCCGCCTGCGTTCCCTCCACCTCTGCTGGGCCTGGAAACTCCAGGCAGTAAACGGAGGTGATCGTAGGGCTCACCTCTCTCGCTTCCTGTCTCTGAGGGATTGCTGTTCTTCATGGCCTAATGGATAGTGTCTTAAAAAAAACCCATTTCAGTATTTTGCCTGGTATTTTAATTGTTTCAGGTGAAGGGTCAGTCAGGTCTCTGTTACTCCATGGCCGGACGCAGAAGCTGTTTTTAAGTTTCTAATCCTTTATGTGAATGACTATGATTAACTTGACAGCATTAAAACATCACTTCATGAGATGCTTCTATGTGACCCTGATGTTTCCTTATCAGGCGGTGACCCCTCAGGGTGACTTGCCTCATTCACACAACTTTTTCTTCTTTTCTTTTTTTTTTAATTTTATTTTATTTTATTTTTTTGCGGTACACGGGCCTCTCACTCTTGTGGCCTCTCCTGTTGCGGAGCACGGGCTCCGGACGCGCAGGCTCAGCGGCCATGGCTCACGGGTCCAGCTGCTCCGCGGCATGTGGGATCTTCCCGGACCGGGGCATGAACCCGTGTCCCCTGCATCGGCAGGTGGACTCTCAACCACTGTGCCACCAGGGAAGCCCTCTTCTCTTCTTTTTGAACCGCAGGTGCCCATGAGTGTTGAATCATAACACAGTGTCCTCATTGGTTCCTGCATGGGTCTCCTTAATTCTTATATTCCTATATAAAATAATACAAAAACTGAATTCTTCCGTAAAACATTTAGTAAAGTTACATCACTTACGTCCCTGGGGAGAGGGCTTTTGGGGAAAATTTGTTTTCTTTGGGAACTTTGCTTTTGCTTGTTTGACTTTCTGTTCCTGATTTCGCCCGTCCCCAGAGCCAGGTGTGGAGCTGGTGAGCCTGCCCTACCGCCTGGTGTTTGCTGTGGCTTCTGAAGACTCTGTGCTTTTGTACGACACCCAGCAGCTGTTCCCGTTTGGTTACGTGTCTAACATACATTACCACACCCTGAGTGATATTTCCTGGTGAGTGGATGGGGGAGACAGCGTACATTCCCCTGGAGTTGCCCCTCGGGTCAGGGAGCATTTCATCCTACAGTTGGCTTTTTTGGCCCTTATTTACCAGTTTATTTAAAGGAATCAACGTAAAAAGGAAAGCTGTTTCTAACTTGCTAAAGTACTGCTTCCTGTTGTGACTGCAGTGGGTGTTGATGCCATGCAGACTGTGATGTGGTTCATCTAATTCTCATAAACCAAGGGGAGGCCCGGTGTCCCTGGTGTTGTGGGGACTCGCCAGGCCCTCTGGGAGGAAGCCCACACACGCGGGCCCCTGCTGCGCAGACAAGGAGGGGCCCCAGAACTGTGCCCGTCCTGAGGGGTCACTTTGCCCTCGCCTTTCTGCCTGGGGTTCTCAGCACCCCCGGGCTCCCAGTTCTGTCTCCACTGTGTGCTCGGGCCCAGGCTGGGCCTGGCCACCTACCATCTACTTCTTGCTCTTTATCACTCTTTATCTTCTTTTCATCTTCTTTTTATTTATTTATTTATTAAAAAAATTTTTTTTGCGGTATGCGGGCCTCTCACTGGTGTGGCCTCTCCCGCCGCGGAGCACAGGCTCCGGACACGCAGGCTCAGCGGCCATGGCCCATGGGCCCAGCCGCTCCGCAGCATGTGGGATCTTCCCAGACCAGGGCATGAACCCGTGTCCCCTGCATGGGCAGGCGGACTCTCAACCACTGTGCCACCAGGGAAGCCCTCATCTTCTTTTTATCTTGGAGGGGAAAAAAAAAAAAAAAGGTCATCTCACCTTTATTCCGGTGAATTTGATGACGAAGCAGGGGTGGGTTGGGAGGGAAAGGGCGTGAGGGAGGAGCCCGCACAGATCCTTTCTCAGCCGTGTTTTTCCCTTGACGGCTTTGCCTTCAGACAAAGCTTGTGAGTATGCTTGAACTTCCATTTCCTAACCAGTGATGAGGGTGCTAAGAGTGGCCTGTAGACTTCGGTAAAGTTTCTCGCTTTCTATTCTGTTTCGGGAACGCAGGTCCAGCGACGGGGCCTTCCTGGCCATCTCTTCCACGGATGGTTACTGTTCCTTCGTGACGTTCGAGAAGGATGAGCTCGGAATTCGCTTGAAAGAGAAGCCAGTTGTGTGTGTGAGAACTCCCGATACAGCGAAGAAAACCAAGAGTCAGACACACCCAGGGTCTTCGCCAGGACCCAGGCTGGGAGAGGGAACCGCCAGCAGCAGAGTCCGGGACCCCAGCAGCCCCTCTGCAACGCCCCCTCAGGCGAAACAGTCTCCGGCCCCCACGGCGGCCAAGGACACCCCTGTGACCGCTCCCGGTGCCAGAGGCTTCCTGGCAGGGCCCTCAGAGGAGAAGACCCTGCAGCCCGGCAGTCAGAATGTGAAAGCCCACCCATCCCGGAGGGTCACTCTGAACACGCTGCAGGCCTGGAGCAAGTCAACACCCCGGTGAGAGCTGTGATGGGAACAGAAACTGCCTTGCCTTGTCAAAAGACAGGATAAGCCGAAAGCCCCTCTCATAGGTGAAATCCCACACAGCTGCCAGAGAGATGTTTCCTAACATCAGACCTGAGAGTGCTGCTTCCTTGCTTACAGACCTCTGTTGGCTCCATTTCCTCCCCGTCGGGTGAGGTCCCGGCTCTTCGCCCGGCCCGTCACCGGCTCTGTGGCAGCCTGCCATCCAGCACGGTGACCCCTCACTCTCCGTCCCGCGTGCTCTGAACGTCAGGTCCCCAGGGCATGCTCTGCCTTTGGAGGCCTCTGTGCCTCCACCCTCTGGGGACGCCCTGGACACCTGCTTCGCTGGGTGACACTAGAGTCCTCCCAGAAGACCCATTTGGATGTCCCTTCAGCCCTTTTCTGTGTCACAACACGTCGCATTCGATAGCAGGTGTTTGATTTATGCTTCTGTTTCCCTAGTTAGAGTACAGGCCCCCCAGGGCAGGAAGCGTGTCCCCGTTCTTTACCCGTGTTCTCCTGCCCAGACGGTAACAGGCACTTACAATAGGTAGGAAGTCAAAGGAGTACCTCCTCCACAGGGTTTTGGCGTGTCCAGCAGACTGGCTCATGGTGAGCGGCACCTCGGGTCTGAATAGCCTCCAGGTGGCGCTGCTGTTGTTTTCTCCCCTGTTCATGCCCGTCTGGCTGGTGAACGTGCCCGAGCTCACGGCTGGCACCGCAGAGCGGACAGAACTGCCCAGCATGGCCCCTGTCGTCAGGCAGCAGCTGGCCTCCAGGCTTCCTTCCCTGGACACCTGTGATCCTGCACACAGCCTTCTCCCTGGCCCACCGCCCAACACTGGGAGGCGGCCTGGGGAAGGGGCCAGGGGGAGGGGGGATGAGGGGAGCACTGCACGCCTCCCACACGCTCTGTCACGTTCACGCGACTTCATTGGCAGATCAATAATGTGGTTTAGGTGTAATGCTGGGCTCTTTCTGTATCTCTTCCTACAGACTAGCAATGTTGTTTTGAAAATTAATTTATTTTTGGCTGCGTTGGGTCTTTGTTGCTGCATGCGGGCTTTCTCTAGTTGCGGCGAGCGGGGGCAGCTCTTCGTTGCGGTGCGCGGGCTTCTCATTGCGGTGGCTTCTCTTGTTGCGGAGCACAGGCTCTAGGCACTCGGGCTCAGTAGCTGTGGCTCGTGGGCTCTAGATTGCAGGCTCAGTAGTTGTGGAGCACGGGCTTAGTTGCTCCGCGGCTTGTGGGATCTTCCTGGACCAGGGATTGAACCTGTGTCGACTGCATTGGCAGGCGGATTCTTAACCACTGCGCTGCCACGGAAGTCCCTAGCAATGTTTTTAAAATTTATTTTTAAGTGGAGGAAGGGAGTGGGAAAGTGTTCTTTGAAACATTTTCGGTATTAAAGTTTTTCCCCTCTTAATTTCTTGCGAACTTCTTGCAGTTATAATTTAAAAAAAAAATAGTTGTTGAGAATTAAGACTGTGGATTTTAAAAAAGAACCATCTATATTTTGGAAGCCATGTCTGATAGGCTTATGCAGGAAACATCTAGCAGAGTGTTCAGCATGTCATCGGTAGTTCAGAAAACACGGGTTTTGAAACTTAGATGACTGGTTAAGGTTTAAGCTGACTCTTACTTTTATGTGATGGTTTAACTTAATACATGATCCTTAGTTACTAAGTAAGGGGGCATATTGACATTATATTCAATGCCTTGCATGATATGAGCTGAAAGTTTTACATGTTTCCTTTGACATTTGGTATTGTATGCAAACCATTCCGATGATACTAATGGCCTTTTACTTCTGTTTTTAATCAAGGAGAATAAACTTAATACCCTTGAAGACAGATACTCCACTGAATTCTATACCAACCAGCGTAATTTCCAGCCCTTCCACAGAAGAAATTCAATCAGGTAAGTGATACTGTTACTGGTTTAGTATAATTAAAGATAGAATACCATCTCTTTGGGAAATGAGCACCACCTAACTTGAAGTCAGTTCTGAGAAAGCAAGGATGCATCTTACCAGGCCTGTCGTTTAAACCCACTGATTGCGTGTGTATTCTCATCCAGGAGCCCACCCTCCCGCCAAGGCGCTCCCTGCTAGGCAGACGGTGGATTTGGGAGATGGGTAGAGCCGGGCTGGTTCTCAGCCTCGGCAGTGTTGGCATCTGGGCAGGTCATTCCTCGCTCTGGGGCTGCGCTGTGGGTGCAGGATGATTAGCAGTGCCCCTGGGTGCTGGTACCCATCCCCTGCCCCGACTTGTGACGCTCTAAAATGTCATCAGACACTGCCCACTGTCCCTCGAGAGGCACAGTCGCCCCGGGTTGAGAACCACTGGGGTAGACCTTCTCCTTAGATCCATAGAGGACCTGGCCAGGCAGTTCAGTTCCTTGTCTGCGCATGAAATTCAGTTTGTAAACGTCAGCTCTTAACTTAAAGACATCTTCACTCACTTGTCCACCCTGTGTGTGCTCACATCTTAGAGATGCCTGGAGACCTTCAGGTCAGTTCCCCGGAGCTTAAGCGGCCGAGACTCAGTGAGCACAAAGAAGGTCCCCAAGGTCTGGACCCCTGATGAGACCTGTCATGTGCCTGAAGGCTGCTAGGTCTGGGGACCCCCGTGTGCCCAGAGAGGGGCGAGACCAACCTGAGACCAGTGGAATCAGACGGAGCCTGACGGACACTAGAAAATGGATTTCTGTAACAGAAGATACGCGTGGACCAATTTTCTCCAGAAATATGTTGGCTGTTGTATTTAGCATACATTTTTACCTCAGATATGTGAACATTTTAATAGACTAAATTCTCTTTTTGATGAGTTTCTGAGACTGGAACAGTTCAATGTTACCTAGTGTGAAAATCAGTAAATCCCCCCCTTGGAATACTTGTGTGAAAGTACAGACACTTTATGGGTGGACTCCTTCCACAGCTAGAATTAGAGGAGAAGGTGGTTCGAGAAGGTTTATTCTGTTGAATTTTAGAGTGTTTGATTATTAGATCACTTTAGCTTCTAAATAGTTGATTAACTTTTGGAAGTTTGTTATGTTTGCTTTCTGATTTTAAAGGTGGTAATGCACATTCTAGAAAGTTAGTAAAGAGTGAAGTAGAAAAAACTCGTTGGAGGTGGAAATCACCCATCTCACCACCAGAGGGAACCCTTGTTACTGTTTCGGCATATTTCCTTAAAATTTCTGTTTTTATTAATGTTATTTTATTTTGGGGACGGGGGGAGAGTTGAGATTTTACTTTAGATACAGTTTGGTATCCAAATAGGTTAACTTCTTAGACTGATTTTTCAAAGCAAAAAAAGTACCTTTCCTTAGCAGTCTGTGCCTCTGCTCTCGGTCCCTGGGATGCTGGCATGGTCATTTCCCTCTTGGGAGCAGACCAGACTCATGGGCTGAGACGTATGACGTGCTGTCGCTGCAGGAGGCCTCCCACGTTTGGAGTCTCCTCTTAGCGCAGGAGACTCTGGTGATGTGACCAACAGGTGGTGATGGGTGGAGCCCTAGAAGCTGGTGCGGCTGCTTCACGTTGAGGAGTTTACAGATGATTTCATGGCCCTCGATGCTCTTCCTCTGGCACGATGAACACGGTGAGTCCCGCAGGTGAGGCTACACCCAGGACCCCTTCCCTGTCTGAACCAAATCAGAGGGCAAGTTTGGGACCCGCCGGCCCAGGCTCTGGCAGGGAGCCGCTGGGGATGGAAGAACACACTCTTGTCAGCTCAGGTCAGCAGCAAAGAAGAGAGCTGGAAAGAAGCGTCAGCTTGTTGCTAATCCACAGCCCAGTTAACCAGAAAAAGAGTCTGCCTCTCTCTACACGGGAAAGTGGCAAGTGGGATGATTTACCACGTGGAGAGCTGGCAGGTGAATCCATGCAGAGTTGTAATAGTGCAGGTGTGGGTCACGTTCAACATGAAGACATTTAAAAATGTCAAATAGCAGCTGTTTTGACCAGTGGTTCTCAACCTTGAAGTCCCCCAAAGACCTGCCGGACATCAACACCCGGGTCCTGCCCTCCTTGGTCTGGGGCCCAGTCTGAACATCGGGCTTCTTTAAGGCTCCTCTGGTGATTTGAGGCACAGCCAGGATTGGGAAATCGTGAGAGGAAAGCTTTCCCCGGAGGTGGCGTCTGCTGGTGATAAATGCACTTGCGCCAAAAGCTTTTCCAGGCTACTTCTCTGGTTCATCACCGACTGACAGCAAAGCCTCTCTACCCGGGCTGCCAAACTGAAAGGATAATGTGTGAGATGCTGTCAGCTCTTCAGAGGAAAAAGGTCTTTTTACATTGCCTGCGGCTGGAGCACGGTGTGTTTTGTAGGGGTTGGTCCCCGTGCAAACAGGAGTCGTCATGGGTCCCTTGTCCCTGTGAACCGGCTGGCTCCCCGGCCACCCCCAGTGGAGGGGCGACGGGAATGGGTGGGAGGGGGCCGGTGCTCCTTCAGCGGAAGTGCACATTGATAGGCACCATTGCCTGTCTGTCAGCTGTCTCCTCGACTGTAAATTACAGACTCGGCAATAAAAGCCCAGGCGGTGTCACCTTCCGGTCCTCGTCTAAGGCCACCTGCTTCCATCTGGGTAGTGACTGGGGAAGGGAAGCCTTCTGCGACAGGAGCCTCGCCCGCCCCGCCGGGTGGGCAGTATGCCCGCTCAGGGCTGTCCTGCATCTGTAGTTGGGTGGGGCTCGTGTCTGAATCCTGCTGCCAGGTGAGGAGACGCGGGAGGGCTCGGGGAGAACTTGATGGGGTCCGGCAGCGAGGGAGGGCCGCCCTGCCCTGGCCTGCGCACTGGCGAGAGGAGAGCTGGCAGGGCCGCCGGCGGCAGACGTGAAGGCTCGTCACGGGCCAGGCTGCAGCCATGGGCAGAGGGGCGTCCCCAAGCAGGCTGTCCACCAGGGCAAGGGCCCCCCGGTGGAGAGAGGCAGAAGGGCCAGCAGGAGGGTGAGTCGCAGCCAGTCCTTGGGCCCGTTTTTGTCCCCTGCAGCCCCGTCTGTCATCCTTGCCGAGAGCACTCACTTCTGCATTTTAACAGTGCTGTTGACCCTTCTTACCAAAATATTGCCGGTGTCCCTTTAAGTAGGTCGTGAGTCCTTGAGGAGACGGTGGGGGGGGGGCGGGGATCTGCCAGTACTCCTGCATCTTCCCTTTTGGGCTATTTTGCTGTATTTCGGTCTCAGCTCCCTCTCACCCGGTTGTGTGTGTGTGTGTGTGTCTCTCTCTCTCTGTCTCTGAGGGACAAATTGCTTCATCTGAGGAAGTTTCTTCACAGCTCTGAAAACTGCCTCCTTTGGCAGGGGAGAGGGGTCAGAGAAAAGGCAGGAGGGCAGAAATGAGAAACAAAGGGCTGGAGGGTAAACCAGATCCTTGCTTATGGAGGCAAAAGGCACCTGTGCTCACACGAACTCCTGTGGCCACTGGAGGGCACTGTCCCCACTGGATCTGCCTGGTGGTAGGGCTGCCTTGGCTCGGAGCCTCTGCTGCCACTCAGCCCCACCTCCCCTGAGGGGTCCACATCTATGTCAGGCTTGGCCAAAGTGGCCTTGGACACTGGCTTCAGCCCCTGGCGGCCAGACACGAAGGGGAGCATCATTCAGCAGACGGTCGCGGGAGAGGATTGCGGAAGTAATCCACGCGTCCACGTGTTCATTTGTTTGTTCATCTGTTCATTCAAGAAATGCTTACCTGACACCTTCTAGGTACCGGCGGATACATCAGGGCACAAAACAGACGAAGCTCTCTGCCCTCCTGCAGCTCACATTCAGACTGGGGGAGACGAACAATAAAGCTAATAAATATATATTAGAAGATGACTATGGAAAAAAGAAAGGTGAGGGGTGTTAGGAGAGCTGGGTGGAGAGTGGCTGACAACTTAAAGTGGGAGGACCTCTCGGGAAGGCGGAAACAGAACAAGGGAGAGGACGAGGAAGGAAGGAAGCAGGTCAGGTGTTCTAGGGTTTCCCAGAGGCAAGGAGTCCTTCTCTACTCATCTCTGATGCATTCTGGGGGTTGGGTTGGGTGTCTGGGGGTTCCCTGGGTGATGGGGGCGAGGACAGCCTGCAGCCCCTGCTGGTGTGGAGCCCCACCAGCTACTCGGCCTCCCTGTCCCCTCACGCGCACCGCTGGGAGTCGGCCCAACACCTGCCTGTGCGCGTCTCCGGGGGTGCTGGTCGGGTGGTCCAGACCAGGCTGAGGTTGACCGTTGCTGTGATTATCATTGAGGTCGGGAAGGCTCCCTGTCATATTCCAGCGGGAGTGAAATCTTTCTGAGTTGTGAATCTCTGGTGCAGCTCGCATCCCAGATCAAAGGCCGAGCCATACATCACCCAGCTGTTTCCTTCCACTTCCTGCTTTTTTTTTTTTTTTTTTCGCGGTACGCGCGCCTCTCACCCGTTGCGGAGCACAGGCTCCAGACAGGCAGGCTCAGCGGCCATGGCTCACGGGCCCGGCCACTCTGCGGCATGTGGTATCTTCCCAGACCAGGGCACGAACCCGTGTCTCCCGCATCGGCAGGCGGACCCTCAACCACTGCGCCAGCAGGGAAGCCCCCACTTGCTGCTTTTAAGCAAGATCTACGTGGCTTTAACAGCTAAATCGCGAGAGGCGGTGGCTGTTTTCTTCAGTTTGGGCCTGAGTCCTGCCCTTGTCAGCACAATGTCAGCATGCAGAGAAAAGAACTCACTGGCCTGGATCCCTTACACAAGTCCTATACTTTCCCTCTGGTTTAGGCTCTGAGAGACACTGTAGCAACAAGTATGGCCTCTGTTAAGAAGCTGTTTGCGTGACTTCTCTGGCGGTCCAGTGGTTAAGAGTCCGCGCTTCCATAGGAGAGACACTGTAGCAACAAGTATGGCCTCTGTTAAGAAGCTGTTTGCGTGACTTCCCTGGCGGTCCAGTGGTTAAGAGTCCGTGCTTCCATAGCAGGGGCCACGGGTTCGATCCCAGGTTGGGGAACTAAGATCCTGCATGTGCTGCGTGGCGCTGCCAAAAAAAAAAAAAAAAAGCTGTTTTAAGAACAAATGCTTAGTGATGATTGTCCGGGGTCCACACTCCGGCCTCTTTTCTTAACACCCCAAATGACTTGTGTCGCCTTCTGTCGTAGAAGGTTACCTGGAAAGGCATGTCAGGTGTAATAACAAGTCTTTGTAATAACTCCAGGTCTCTCTGCCTTTGGTCGGCGCCCTTGGCAGGTCTGAGAAGCGCCTGCCTGGGAGGAGTGCAGTGCTGGGTGTCGGCCCTCCAGGCCCTCCTTCCCTCTTCTCTCCCCATGTCCTCCTGCCCATCAAGTACACGGAGCTGGCAGCACCCGTGCTTCCCAGCCTGGCCCTGCTCCACATCGCCAGCAGGGCTTTACAGACAAAACAAAATAAAACCAACTCAGGCCTAGGCTCGTGACCCCGGAATCAGCTTCTAAAGGTGAGGGAGACACCCAGCCGGGCATGTGCATTGTAAAAACCCGAGAGATTCAACGGGCAGTCAGCACTGAGAACTCGTAGGAGTTGTGAAATCTGAAGATACACCAGTGACAGGCAGTTAGAATTCTTTGAGCTCATTGGTTTCGTAAAGAGCCTCCATATTCAGCTACTCAAGAAGAGGGTGGGTCTTGAAGAAAACTTTGCCCCCCAGGTCCAGTGTCACTGCTGCTAACCCAGCAGTTACAGGAATGAGGAGACTGTGTTACTGGAGCCTCCCTCAAAGCCAGCGCCGCACAGTGGCCTCCCGCCTTCTGAATGTGGTTGCGGAAGTGATGAATTTCGATTCCTGATGGAACGAGTACTCCAACGAGCCACTAGAGGGCGATATTGCTAGGCCTTCGCTCCACTGTCAC